CTTCCATGTTGGGTAGTAATGAACCTTTTCCAGGCTGGCTTATAGCTTGAGTGCTTGTAAAGACATTGTTAAATGTAACTGTGTTTTGGGATCACCAAGAGGGCCCGGATCTGTTTGTTGTTGCTGTTTGCTTGCCATTTATCCTTTTGTTTTCTGACCACTTCCTGTCTGGAGTGTGGACACGGTGGCTGGAGTTTGGACAGCTTTGAAGTGTCCTCGTGGTCAGGAGCAGTATACTACTAATGATGACAAAGAGAAACCATACAGATGCCTGGGCTTGTGGATGCTACAAAATCAACAGACCAGACCAAGACTGCCCACTTCCAGATTTTTACAGAAAATAAATCTCCATGTCATGGTTAAGACATTACACTCTTTTCTTTCACGCACAGTAGCTGTGAACAAGATATTGCCAAGTGATGGTGAATCCACAATTTTAAGTTCTTCTAGAAAAAAATCAGGTGAAACAAAGGGAACACGAGTCCCTGCTTGTGTGTCCTGACTGCAAGATGTCGGGAAACCTGGGTGGGAGGCACGGTGTGGGGCTTCTGTTTTCTCAAACATTTCCTTCCCTCTGAGTTTTGTTTTAGCTATTCTTCATTTATCAGGATCATTCATTGTCTTTTTTTTTCTTCCATGGATCTGCAAATGAGTTCTTTTACCATTGGTTATGTTTTTAAAGATTTATTTTTTTATTTTTAACAGTTATTTAGTTTTTATTCATAATCACAAACTACTCTGCAATCCAGCTAGACTTGGAGGGGAATGAGGAAAATATGGAACCCCAAGAACTGCAGTGAGGGCAGAGATTACAGGGTATTGCAAGCAGATGGGGTGGGGACGCTCTCCTGAGCTACAGAAGGCATGGTCTGGCTGGTAAGATGGCCGCAAGTCCAAAGCATTAGAGTTGTCCGCAGTCGGAATGGAGATCTTCCTGCTGGTCTTGCCGTTCCTGGACTCAGCACAGTGGTCCATGGCTTCCATGATCCTTATGCCTTCTTTCATCTTGATCACGTGCTTCCCAGCAGGCCACTCAGCCTTGACAGTGCAGATGGAAAACTGGGAAGCATTTGTGTTTGATCTAGCATTTGCCATGAACAAGATGCCAGGACCTATATGAAGTTTTCATCCTCAAGTTTCCCCCAACAGGTGCACCTGTCACCAGTGCCTTTGTGGCGTGTGAAGTCACTACCCTGGCAAACAAATCCTGGAATAATTCTCTGCAAGGAAGAACTTTTATAACCAAATCCTTTCTCTCCTGCACTCAGAGCATGAAAGTTTTCTGTTGTCTTTGGAATTTTGTCTGCAAACAGCTTGAAGGAGACACAGCCCAATGTTGAAGTATGCAGGGATTGACCCTGGCTTCAGCAAGAGGTGACAGGAAATAGCATCTGCAAAGCTATTTCTTATTTTTAATTATGTATAAATGTGTGTATGTGTTTTTGTGTGTGTTTGTGTGTATGTATGTGTATGTATGTGTGTGTATGTGTGTTTGTGTATGTGTGTGTGTATGTTTGTATATATATATATATGTTTGTGTATGTGTGTTTGTGTGTGTGTGTTTGTGTGTGTATGTGTGTGTATGTGTATGTGTTTGTGACCTTGAGTGCAGATGCCTTCAGATCCCCCTGGAGCTTGAGTTACAGAGGTTTGTGAGCCATCTAACCTAAGTGATTGAGTGTTGTTGTCTTGTCCTGTCCTGTCCCTGTCCCCATCTCTTTAAGAGCATAAACTGCTTAGCCATCTCTCTGGTCTCACCATGACTAAGTTTTATCTATTAGATTCCGTCCCACCTCTTCTCTTTCTTTGTCAGTTTTCTGGGACAAGGTCTTGCTACATAACTCAGGCTGGCCTCAAACTTCATCTTCTCCTGCTTCATCCTCTTTCAGCTCACTGATTAGCATGTATACCACCAAGACGGGCTGTTTCGCTCATCAGGAAGACCCTTTAGGGATGGAGAGATGGCTCAGTGGTTAAGAGCACCTGCTGCTCTTGCACAGATCAGAGGCCAGGAGGCTCACAAATGCCCATTAGTTATCCCACTCCAGGGTATCTAATGCCCTCTCTAACCTCCAAGGGCACCTGTACTCACCTGTACATACTACACAAAGACAAACTCATACATAATTAAAAATAAAACAAAAATTTAAAAGAAAACTATTCAGCAACCACTGAACATTTTTCTCTTGAGAGACTGCCCAGCAACAGATTGGGAGGAATTCTCCTAAGAAAAGAAATACCTGATCCTTGCTGTCCTGCCCTATGTTAGTTGAGTGTGAGCATACTCCAAATTACCAGCTCCGTAGTTTCCCATGGGGTTTGCCCTGAGTTACACAGAGAAGCCAGATGGCTTACAACTCACTCGTCTGTGCCGTGGTCTTCCATGTTCTGGAAAGGAGGTGCCAGTGGAATCAGATTGCCCTAATTCCAGATTGCCCTAACTCCAGATTGTGGTCCCCATTTGCCTGGTACCTGGCTGACTTCTCTCCACCACATTCTTTCTGTTTATGTCAGCTGAACTTGATTTCAATTGTTTGCAACCAAGAATTCTGACTGGTTTGGATACTGAACCACATCATTTTACCCCCAGAACCACATGGGGCTGGCATCATGGAAACCCATTCAGGAGTCTGCATAAGCCTTAACTTGCTGCATATGCACTTTTCATTGAGCTTTAAAACCGTTCAAAAACAACTTTTCTACAGTTCTAATCCTGTGGACCCTAAGAAATGTTACCATTATGCAATGGAGTCTCTGGAACTTACAGTAACTTGGTCCAAGTAGCGTCAGGAAGAACTTCTCAATGAGGGTGCATAGGCATCTGTCCTTGCTGCATTTGGCCTATGGATGTGATGTCTTGAGGGACTCAAGTCAGACAGGAGAGATGGGTGATCTAGAACGTACAAGAATCCCAACTTAGGGTATTGAGAAGGCTTAATGGGTAAACATGCTTGCTGCACAGACCTGATGATCTGTGTGATCTCCAAACTCACGCAGAGGTAGAGAAGAGGGCTGACTCCATAAGTTGTCCACTGTCTTCCTCATGTGTACCATGGGACTCAAGACTAGACTCTATTTTAAAACAATTCTTTTAAAGTTCTATTCTTCTGGAGGAGTGCTTGAGGGAACAAAAAGACCCAAGCAGCATGAAAAAGGGAAGTGAGGAGAAGATACTTTGCTTTGCTATATTAATTAATGATTTTTAAAATTCATATTTATTTTTGATATATTTTATATATTATGTTTAATATAACATATAATATAAAATATAATGTATGATATATCATGTACAGTGTATAATATGTAGCATATTACCATACATTATTATATAATGTATAGAATATATTATATAATACATAATATAATGTATATTATATTAAATATATTTAATTTATATTAATTTATAACTTAATGCCTTTGGAGACAGAGTTTTACTCTATAGTCCAGGCTCTCCTAGAACTCAGATTTTCCTGCCTCAGCCTCCCTAGTGCCAGGATTTTAGATGTCACTATGTGCCCTATTCTCAGGAGGAGATATAGAAATGTTAATGAGGGACAGCTTGGTCCATTAGCTCAGCAACCTGGCGAAGCCATCATGGCCGCAGACACTAACCTCTATTGTGCACCAGATGGGAAGAGGCTGCAGAAGAGAACCCTGGGAGGTGAGAAGGCAGACAAGGGAGCTGGTAGATGCCGTGTCCCTTTTAAGAATGTTTATGCAGGGACTTGAGAACGTGTTTCTTAAAATCACTAAGAAGAGCACTCACTTTTTAAAGGATTCTTCACTCTGAAGACAGGGAGACATGGCTGGAGTTCGGGCTACCGGAACGGAGTGCAGTTACTTCTTACAATGTTGGAGAGCTGTTGTGCTGTCCCACCCAAGTTGGTGCGTTATCCTCTCTGGCTCCAAGAGCTCAGTGTTTTCCCTTCTCCCAAGCTGCCCACCCCTAGACAGTGACTCAGAATAATAAACACTCAAAATGTATTTGGAAGGCACTTCTAATTGAAGAGAGACTCATCTGACAGAGATTGGATTTGCCCCCACTTCTGAGAATGCATCCATCCTACAAAAAGCCATGCAACAATATAAGGAATAACAGCATGCATCCCATGCAAAAAAAAAAAAAAAAAAAAAAGAGGCAACTAATAGAGGAAGTGTGGTTAATTAATGCAGTAGGAGCCGAAACACTGCAGGAACAGATGAACACGCACTCCTGGAATATGATACAATAAGCGGCTTCATTAGGGAGACAGTTTATGTGGCAGAAGAGATAATAGCATGCAAGACGGGAAATGCGAAAATAAATTAGTCTACGAGAAAACACCAATTTGAAAATATTTCGTAATGCTTGATTTGTGTGATTTGTGAGAAACCTCTCCACGGTCAACACAGATGGAATTCTCTCTTTAGGAAAACTTAAAAATAGGTCAGGTCAGCCCCAGTGGATTGGGCAGGTTTAGGTGTGAGTTTCTTCTGTGGGAGAGAGAGAGCCCAGCTGGGTATTTTCAGGGTCTCCCATTAGCCTATGATCCTAAGATTACACTTGTGGGCACTCTGTACGTCTGTCATTTTTTAAAGCTAGTTAACTCGGTGGCTTCATTATTTCCCATCCCCTCCCAGCTCCCCACGGGGCTCTAACTAAATCAGACCCCATTTGGAGTCTGCGTTTCTTTCTGCGCAGCACATTTAAAAGGGACATTGGCCTGTTCTGCCTTCAGAGAACAGAGTCAAGACAAATGGGTGGAAGTCACTCAGAGATACATTTTGATTCCATATAAGAAAGCCGTCTTCTTCCTCAGCCCCTCCAGTCTTCAGAACCTCTCATCAAGCCAGGGTTGCTTTTTGAAGCAGTTTGCTCTCAGGGACTGAAACACTGGAGCATGGGGTATTTGAACAGCTGTCAACATTGTTCCGGAGGAGATTTTTTTTTCCCCTGAAGTTTCCTTCCAGTTCTGACACTGTGTGATTGATTGACTGTCTGACTTCTCAAGGTGTTTTACCTCGTCAACAACTCCTTTTTAGTTCTTTGATGTTGAGCATTACCTTCACCTGTTCCTACAAGGAAAGAAAAAAAAGTTGGCAAAAATAACATGGAATGACAGTATTCATCATATTTCTTATTCCTGGGACCAAATATATGATGCAGGCAGCTTGAGGAAGGGTTTGTGGGCTGAGGGATTTAGTTCATCGTGTGAGGGGAGGCATGGGGGCAGAGTGTGAGGTGGCTGGTCACATTGCACCCAGTCTCAGAGAGATGAATGCCACCGTTCAGCTTCTTCTTTCCCCATGTTTAGGTACTATGGGACCCCAGTTGATGAGATGGGGCCACCCCCATTCAGGGTGGGTCACCCTTCCTCAGTTCTACCTCTCTGCTAATGACCTCAGTGTCACACCCAGAGGTGGACCTTCTAGGTGCTTCTACATCAGTTGAGGTTGACAGTGGAGATTAACCATAATACTTCCCATCCATGCTTAGCATCAGGGCTTGACCCCAGGCCTCCTGGAAGTTGCTCACCTTCCCAGCTTCCTTTGCGTCCCTGCCCCACCTTTGTTCTCCTGGTTCCAGCCCTACTAACCTTAGCCCCCTTTGCCTCGGTTCTCAGGCTGTTGCTTGCCCCTCTGCCTTGAGCCAGTGTTCCCCCTGCTTGCCTTGGCCTGGAAAAGGTTCATTCTCCCCTACCCCCAACCCCTATCATCCCAGACTGGTGGCATTTGAGCCGCCTTGATGCTACTGACAAGATCACATCTGCCTACTGTAATCTTTTCTTTTGTAATGTAATAAAAAGAGGTGGGTTGCCCTGACGATTGAATTAAATCTATTCCTAAAATTCTCTAGCAGGGAACAGGTGAGTGTTTAGGCCACTGGAAGACTGCACTGGAATGACTTAGAGAGGAAAGCGGACGACTCCTGTGCTGAATGCCAAACAGTGAACGCCTCTTGCCCTTCACAGATGGGCCTCCTGCTGCCTTGAAAAGCATGCCTTTGCCGCCTGTCAAAGCTCTGGTCATTCAGCAAAAGCAAGCTCAAAGAGAGACCTTTAGAAGTCTTCTTGGTCTATGAGGACGGAGTTGCTCCTTCTTCATACTTGAGCCTCCAGGACACCTTCTCTGAACACCCACCACTATTGCTTGCACCACACCATGGTGTGTGTGTGTGTGTGTGTGTGTGTGTGTGTGTGTGTGTCCTTACTTAGCAAGGAGCTCTTCATGCATATCTTTGCATCTCATCTTTGCATCCCGTCCTTGTCATAGTACCTGGCTATATTAGCACCTTGCAAGATCCAGAAATCAACATTTTTTTTTTTTTTTGGAGAAAAACCACCTAACCAGTCTGTTCACCCAGCATGCTTCTGGCTTGCTATCCTTCCTTCAATTAAAAAACAAACAAACAAAAAACCCCCAAACCAAAAAATGACATCCTTGTAGGTGTGCTTTAGGTAGGGAAAACCCCAATAGAGGGTCCTGGACGGTTAATGAGGAGGAAGGGTGAAGGGGAGGAGACAGCAGAAGGAGCCACGCTGAAAACTGGCTGGATCTTCCTCTTTCTCTCTGCTGAAAGTTGGGGTGTGTCTGGAGGTAGCCGGGTATGGGGATGGGCCATGAAAGTTTCATACTCAGTGTTTTACTGCTGTGCGCATTACCTGACAGAAACAGTTTAGGGAAGAGATGGTTTATTTTGGCACAGATTTCAGAGGGATTTCAGTCTCCTGTGGTGGGGAAGTCCTGGCAGCTGGCCAGCCACTCTATTACCTCTTCCCGGGCCTAAGACAGAGGCTTCTCACAGGTGGAGAGCAGGAGGCACAGCCTGCGGGCTGGGCCAGAACCTTCAAAGCCTGCCTCTAAGCCTTTCAGTCTTAAGGACTGATTCTGACAGCCAGGCCTCACTCGCTTAAGGCTCTGAGACCTTCAAAACAGCGCCACCAGCTGGGAACATGAGCTCACTGCAAAGCCTGCAGGAGTCCTTTCATTGTCAAGCCCAACTCTGTTGCTTAGTTTAAGAACGCTGGGTCTCTCCTCCCTCCCTTCCTCCATCCCTCTCTCCCTCCCTCTTTCCTTCCTCACTATCCTACCCTTGCTTGGTTCCTGAGCTCAGAAAACAGTACCACATGCTCACCAGCTTGAGCCAGTGTAGGCCCAGGGCTGTTCCTGGAGGCCGTGATGTGCTTGTGTTCTGGAATGCCTGAGAACCAAAGCAGCTAGCTAGCTTGTCCTCCCAGTGTCTACTCCACTTCCCTCAAGTTGTGCTTACTTTTTAATTGCTCCGCTTCTTCCCTTTGTTTTCCTAGTTAAAGGCCACCAAAGAATGGAATTGGGTATTTCAGCCGTTTGTGGTCACCTTTCATTTCATGGTCCTCTGCATTTATTAACTCTTATTTCCTCTCCATAATCTCCCTTTCCCCTGATATTTGTAAAAGCACATCTTATTCTCCTTAATTGCATTGCTGGCGTGATCTAATTCCTATTTTCCCCTTCCGAATCTTTGCCCAGGAAGCTTTAACTGGTGCTACAGTCTCTGTTTTTCTCTCTTTTCTCTTTGCAGACACAAATGCTATTTCTTTCCCTTCAGATCTCTTTCAGTCTTCGGGGAGGTCGTGTTGATTGTCTTCTGCTTCTCCTTTAGAAAAAATCCCTGACTGGGTTTTAATTATGTGTGGGTCCCTTCCCCAAAAACACTCAGCCCCAGTCTAGAGCCAAACAAAGTGCTCCGAGCCGCTCCACGGCAGGGGCAGGCGACCCTTCCGGTTTCCTGCCTGAACAGAAAGCTGAGCCTGGGGCGAGAAGGAAGAAAGAAGGCTGCACTGTCTTATGGCTTCCTTTCTTCAGCTGCGCACAGACTGGGGTGAAGCTAATAACAGAAAGATCTAGATGCCTAGCAGGCTCACTTCCTACATAATTAGGTGCTCATCGGCAGTGACAAGGCCACTCAGCTTCTGGTTTGTTGGTCTCGGGTCCGAGCATCCATCTGAATGCTGGTCATTTTGCCATTCTCAAAATGCCACAACTGCAGCAGCCCCTGGGTATTTTGCCATTCTCCTTATTTAGCTCCTGTCTTATTCTGCTGTGACCCCTGGCTATTTGTGTGTCTCTTTTACCTGTCCAAAATTTAACCCTCTCCTTACTCTTTTGCAACATAAATGAGTTTTGGGTTCCATGGTTCCCACTACTATTAGCTTCCTTACCCATTATTCTTCTATAAGCATCCCCATACCCACCCCACCCTTCCTTCCTTCCATGTGTGACAACCGTCAGTCGGCACCTATCATGTGTGCCCTGTTTCCCACTCACACGGGATATCCCCATTCAGCATCCCGGGCCAAGGTGAGCATGGTGTGGCCATTCAGTCCCCCTCCCCCCCCCACCAACTACCACTCCTGGTTTTTCTTCCTTATCTCTCTGCCTCCCGCCCACCCCTAACCCCCAACCCACTCGCCACCCCTGTCACCATGCCTTAGAGAAGCTGACTTTGTCTGTAATCTAGGAAGCACAGGTGAGGATTTAGTCCGCAGACTTCTATCTTCCTTGGGGCACGGTGAACACGTGACTTACATAGTTCAGGCCATTCCCACTGGAGAGAGCATTTATTGCAGACATCTGGAACAAAAAGCTTCCGTGTTGTAAACATAAAACAGCTCTCACCTCAGAGGGAATAAAAGATAATTTGTCAGCCTAATATCTAATATCAGTGACCATGGCCTTGGGACATGGATTCAGACGGCCTTGGACGGTGTGTTCAAATGAACGGAAATGGTTTCATAGTTATCCGACAACAACAACAACCAAAAGCCATAGGTCAATTGTTGAACACATTGGTGAAAATCCAAGCAGGCAGATTCTAACAAAACAAGTATGTCTCTGTTCTAGGTTTCAGATGTTGTCTGAGGTCATTCTTATCTTTTGGGTTGATGGATTCTAGCGGAGTATTATGCATTCCAACCTCTGTCACCGATAGTCGCAGGATGTGAGGTCAGAGGTGAGCAATGAATAGCTATTAAATGGACTGAAGATAGCCCAATATAATTTGGTCCTGGATCTGTAACATTTCAACTCTCCACAATCTTGGGCTTAAAATCAATGTATCAGCCATATAGAATCTGTTAGTTACACAGATGTGCCCCCCCTACCCCCCTAGGAACTTCGGATCACCTTAGTCTTCTGAGAGAACTTCCAGAATAGGTCTGAGCTGACAGTGGACATCTTTAGCACCGTATGCGAAGAGCTGAAAATGAGGTCAGAGTAGATCAATACCAATAGACACAGGAGAGCAGAGCCTTGATCTCATTGCCTGCACTCATGCCATGCCTGAGCCCCTCCTAGACCTCTGCCATGTGTGCACCCTGCATCTCACCCATAGGCTAGTCATGCCGGCACCACCTCCTCGATCCACGCTCTCCGTACATCCGATGCCGCCACCTTCCTAATTCTCTCACTCAGACCCCATAGTAACCTGCATAGGAGTCTCCCTGCCGCTACCCTTATTCCAGAGTCAGTCAAGTCAGGCTTGAAAACCTCAAGTCATATGAGAGTGCTACTCTCCTCAGAACCCTAAAGACATTGCATTAATCTCCAACCCTCAGCACCCACCTGCTCCCTCTGAGCTCATCTACTGCTGCACCCTGTCAGCTCACTCCATCCTTGCTGGCCTCTTAGCTGCCACCTCAGGACCTTTGCACGTGCCATTCTGTCTCTCGGCCATGTTCTTCCACAAGTAGCGGTATGGCTGGCTCCCATTTGCCTCACAGGCTTCAGCTGAGCCACTGAAACCGTTTCTGCCTCCCGTGGAACTCTCCCCCCCCCCTTTGCTTTGCTTTGTCTTTCTAGAACACCTTACCATTACGACACAAACTCATAATTACATCTACATGGCTATACCCACCCATCAGCACCCTTAGAACATGTAGGCTTGTCTTCTTTGCTAATGAATATAGAAACTTCTAGAACACCCCCCCCCACCCCCCGCACCAAGCAAGCATTCAATAAAGCATTATCAGTTGACTGGTTGGATGAATTAAAGGATCATGTTCTTATTTTGAGTGAGGCATTTTAAACTGGGTTCCTGCCACAGGCAGACAAAAAGATTCCAGTATGGAGTTCAGTTAAGATTTGGTTTAAACGTGGGCAGATGAACAGCTTGGCTTTGGCTGGGTTGTAAGTTACATCTCCATAGCAGACTTGAATGCACCTGTCCGGTTGAGTCCCAAGATCCTACCATACCCCCGGCCTCCTTGGATCCTCACATGGTTTTGCAAGACACACGCAGTCCATGCTGCCTGCCCCTCACGTGACAGGGAACGTGACTACGGTCTGGCTGAGCAGCACAGCCCCTGCCGCTTTGTCCCCAGCCCGCAGTTCTGTTTCTGCGTTTCTATCCACAGTCCCACAGCTTCACCACGTGGCTCTTCCCACAGCCCTAGGGGAACACAACGAAACTCTGTCGCTTGCAGTCTCTATTTATCTGGCATTTCCAATCCCCTCTTCTCTGAAAGCCAATAACATTCTGAATTTTTCCCATAAGAGATTGTGGGCTCTTTGGGAAAGAGAAAAACAAGCAGATGGTTCTCAGGAAACCGGATCTGCTCTGTGAGATCAAAATTTCCCCTTCTGTAAACTAGCCCTTAGCAGAACGTTCTTCAAACCACGGACAACAGACATTCATGTGCTCCAGCCTTAAGTGGCCACAATATGCGGCAGATTCCTCTGCCAGCCCCTCGCTCCCAGCCAGAGCAGCTTTCCCTTCCCCAGCTATTCCCCACAGGCCACATTAGCTCCTGTTTAAATTCCCTCCCCTCGCCGCACGCTTCCATGTTTCTCAGCAGCCCCCGGTGGACATGCGCATGCGCAGGCTTATCTGTTTTCACACGTAATGGATCAAACAGCAGGGGCTTCTAGCTGGAAACGGTTTTCTAGGCTGCAAAAGGCTACAGAAAACCACGAAGCTGCCAATACGGTTCAGAAATTATTAATACACACTTGGCAGGAGTTGGCACATGACACTGCCCCATGATCATGGAGAAAGACAGACGACTTTTCTCAGTGGTGGGAGATTTAGGATGGGAGCCTTTATCCAGGGACTTTCTGTATTGCTACTTTTTTTAGATGGCTTTTACACGAGGTCACAATGTCAAAGATCATTGGAGCCCCCTTCTGATTCCAAACTAGGGTCTACAGTAGACCCACGTCACATTTTTTTGGTGTTTGTTTTGGAAATCCGGACAACCTATTAAGGAATGGCTTATACTGTTTCATAACAATAAACGACAAAATGGTTTCTCTGACTTTTAGCCACCCCACAGAATGCATCATTGTAATGGGGCAAAAGGTCGTGTCTGTGCCCAGTCATAAATCTGCCACTCTCAGCCCAGGCTCACCTAGAGATCACGGCCCTGCGCCCCAAGGCTCGGCTGCTTTAACTATTGATAACACCCGGGGCTCTCTATTCTATGGTCTTATTTTATATTGAATGGTGGAATCTTCCAATTTTTATCCAGGTTGTTTTATTTGCTTGCTTATTTATTTACTTGTTTATTTCTTTGTCTTTTCAGGATTTCTATAAGACTTTGAGGGATTTCACAGAAAGGAGAACTTAGAGCCTTCCTGGAGTCAGGGTGGATGCAAGGCGGGGCTCTCAGGGGAACAGAGAGACTCAGGGGTCTCCTAACTCTTACTTCTTAAGAAGAGGACTTTGAAAGAGCTGAGAACAGAAGCCACCTGCATTATCTGATAACGTGTGTTTAATGGGTAAACGAGAGAAAACAGATGGGAAAATACAACTCAAATGGTAGAATGGCTGGGGGCAGAGGTGGCCCGTGTGGTAAAACTTTTGCTTTGTAAGTATGAAGGTGTGAATTTGGCCCCAAAAACCTGGGTGAAAACACTGGTTGTTAACGTGCACTTAATGTCCCGCCCCAGGGATGGGAGGCAGGGGCTTGCTGGCCAGCAGACTGACTTAGTTAACAAGCTCCGGGAAACTTAGAGACTTTGTTTAAAAGTAGGTAGATGGCTTTCCTGAGGATGGAGTCCTAAGAGTTGTTCTCTGGCTTCCACATGTGCATACACATATACGCACACATGTATTTAAAACAACCCGCACCTGCCCCCCCCCACACACAAAAGGATCCAGTAGAAGCCAGATGCTTGTTTCTTGGCCTGTATAAAAATATAGGACTGTAAAAAGCATGAGTTCAGGGAAAGTGTGACACCACATTGAACAAGAGGCACGAACATGGTGGAGCAAGACTAGAGAAACGATCCCAAGGACACTGGGCCTCAAGGGACTAGGGGGAGATGGCTCAGCCACTAAGAACACTAGGTGCTTTTTAGCGGACCTGGGTTTTGTCCCCAGCACCCACATAGTGGTTTATAACCATTAGTAATTCCATTCCATCGACATAGCAGGAGTGGAGGGAGGCATATCGGACAATGCTGGGCAGAGCCCTTGGTGCTCTGGGGGTAAACTTGTGCCCTTCCTCTCAGCCAAAGCCGTGTTGAGAAGCAGACACCGCCATCCCAGGTGAGAAAGCTACTGTTCCCTTGGCCTTGATACAAAGAAAAAAACTAAAACCTAGGTCATACAGTGCTTGGAATGATAAACTCCCAGAGAAACGGTTCTCACACATACACCTTTTCATTTCTTCTTCTTTTTGTGGAGAGTAAGCTTGAGGCCTTGCAACTTCTGGACAAGTGTTTCACCACTGAGCCTCAGCCTACAGAGACAGACGGCCTTGGAAGGCAGATGAGAGCTTCTTAGGCACACACGGTCACTAGAACAGAGGCTGGGAGCGTGTGTGGCAGGCTTTGAATTCCAGCCTTGGCTCTCTGTTATACTCAGGATGGAATGAAGACCATCTCTTCCAGGTCTTTCTCCTGCATGGAGTAAGTATCAGGAGTGAAGTTATTCTAGAAAATCCATGAAGCTGGATTTTGTTAGACTCAGTAGCTCTTGTGGAAGTTCAGTGCTAGCCTCTGTCCTTCCTTGTACTCGATCCTGTATTACTCCTCTCCTGCTAGGGGAGGGGCCCACGGAGGCCAAGCATCCCCTATCTTGGGATGGGATGACTATCAGCTGCCATCCCTTCCACTGGGAGACTGACTCCAAAGTGCCCCGAGACTTCTTTCAAGTATTTCAAGCAAATGTTGAAATGGACGGCTAGGTCCAGGTCACAGACTTTGTCAGGGCTTTGAATGTCCTCGTGTCTTCAGAGAGCCACCCAGTCATCAGTTGCTGCTCTCTGTGCCCACTGTCCAGACCTGATGTCTCAGATATGCGAGTCCTCCTCTTCTACCTGCCTGTCCCTCTGTTGCTTTCTGACTCCTCCTTCCACTCCATCTGCACTTCTTGGTAACACTGGATTCTTCTTTGGTCTGAAGATACACCCGACATGGTCTCCTGCCTTACTAATCTTCTCCTGAAGGCCTGTCACTAAACACGATGCTAATTCATGTTGCTTATTATAAACCCCAACTAGAATGTGAATTCAAATATGGGTAGAGCTACTTCCTGGGGGTCTAGAAGAGTCAGGCATAAGAGTACTAGGTGGTCAGTAAATATTCACTGCAAAAATAAAAGAACACCACGCCACAATAACTGTAACTGTTAGTCTACAACACAGTGTGCTTAGCTCTAAATACACTTCCCAACTGCCCTGGTGAGAGATATAAACAATGAAGGCCTTTGGAAAGGAGCACACAACTTCCCGGACCTACCCTCCACCTCCCTCTGCAGCTTGCCTGCCTCTTTCTTCTGCTGATGGCAGCACATGTTCCTCTCTTGAACTGGCTCCTTTGCCTAGGACACCCGGAGCTGGCTCAGGCACAGGTCTCCCCACTTCAGTGTTGTATCTCTCTAGGTCCACTGGTCACACTCCTCACAGACATCAGGTCCCCGGGTGCCTGCCTCATTTCTCTCTTCAGTCTGGAAAGCAGGAAGATGTGTGCCCTGCTGTCTCCGCCACTCCTGGCTTGTGGCGGCTGTGGTAAGTACAGGTGGGTATGAGGAGTTTGTGGAATGGGGTGCAGGGGTTGGAGCACCTATCAGGTGATTGGATTCTGTCGATTCTGAGGACTAGTTCTAAGAGCAGTAGGATGGATGTGTACACCCCTGAGACTGGAGAGACCATAGGTCTCAGAAACAGAAAGCAGAGCCAGGACAGCTAAGTGTCATCTTTATCTGCAAAACTGTTTAGGCAAAGTTGGGCTCAAACTCCTGATATTCCTGTTTCC